GGACAGATATATATTTTACTATATATAAAATAGATTTAAAAAAAACAGGAACCTACTGTATAGCACAAGGAACTATATTCAATATTTTATAATATCCTACAGTGGAGAAGAATCTAAAACAGAATATGTGTGTGTGTGTGTGTATACGTATCTATATATCTGAATCACTACGGTATATACCTGAAACATTGTAAAATAACAATGCTTCAATTTAGAAATTTTTTTTAAAAAGAGAAAGATACTGGGTGATTACCAAATTCATGTACAGTTAATTCTTCCATGGATTATCTACTTTTTGGATTATTCCCAGCACCTTTTAAATTCCAAGAGGATTTTCCCCAGCTGTTACGCATTCTTCTCAGTCATCTACCCACCTTCAACTGGTAGAAGTTCAAGGAATGCAAATTCATTTTCTATTAGCCTAAATAAACACAATTAGAAAGGAGAAACCCCCGAGGCAAAGAACACCTATCAAAGCCAAATATAAATTATCTTTGACTGTTATAATCAGGGAAATAAATGAGAAACCAATGTAACTATCTTTTTAATCTCTAGGGGGAAAGGTTTGAATGTGTTCTTTTATAGATTTCTTCAGCACTTTATAATCCTAATGTTCTTTTATATTCATTCTAAATCACTGTTCTTCAATCTGAGCCTGTTCTCGTCTTGTGGGCGTCCATGAAAATAATTGAGCTGACCTCAATCCTTCCAAGTGTGCTTCCTGTCCTTGTTAATGTACAAACATGGTAACTTTATGCTTTGCAATTTAATTATTTGCATATCTAATGATTTACCCATCATGCTTATTATTTTTAACATCACTATGATATTTTATAACAGGGGTCCCCAACCTCGGGGCCACAGACCCGTTGGTACCTCCCATCAGATCAGCAGTGGCATTACATTAGAAATAAAGTGCCCACTAAATGTAATGCTATGGTTTTTCCAGTTGTCATGTATGGATGTGAGAGTTGAACCATAAAAAAGCTGAAGAATTGATGCTTTTGAACTGTGGTGTTGGAGAAGACTCTTGAGAGTCCCTTGGACTGCAAGGAGATCCAACCAGTCTATCCTGAAGGAAATCAGTCCTGAATATTCATTGGAAGGACTGATGCTGAATCTGAAACTCCATACTTTGGCCACCTGATGTGAAGAGCCAATTCATTAGAAAAGACTCTGATGCTGGGAAAGATTGAAGGCAGGAGCAGAAGGGGACAACAGAAGACCAGATGGTAGGAAAACATCACTGACTCAATGGACATGAGTTTGAGCCAGCTCCAGGAGATGGCAAAGGACAGGGAAGTCTGGCATGCTGCAGCCCATGGAGTTGCCAAGAGTCAGACATGACTGAGCGACTGAAATACAACAAAATGTAATGTGCTTGAATTACCCCGAAGCCATCCCCTCCCTGCCTGTTCCCCCAGTCCGTGGAAAAATTCTCTTCTATGAAACTGGTCCCTGGTGCCAAAAAGGGTGGGGACCACTGTTTATAATATTAGCTACCGTGACTACAATGAGTCATGCACTCTATTAGGAATTTTATACATATCTTCATTTATTTAATCTCCCCAGTAACTCTAAATTTAGATATAATTATTCTCAATGTATAAATGAAGAAATTAAGAGGTTCTGAATGGCCTCATTCCCAAAGCCCCCATGCATCCTTAATGCCGTATTTTCTCTTATCATGTTGCTGAGCTTATTCACTATTGTGAGGCATTTGGGGTTATTTCTGATTTACTGTAGTGCTAATTATATCCCATAAAAATTTTTTCGTAACCCTAATCATCCTGGGTCCCCATGTAGCTCAGTTTCTACAGAGTAGCATGTAGCACTGCCCAAAGTAATTTTAAAGATGAATACCAATTTTCATGTTGTCTCTCAAGCAAAAATCACAGGGGATCCAATTCAGAACTCATAACGCTACTTACCAGATCCCCTTTCTTCATTCCCCAGTTCTCTCACACTGTGTAACTGCAGGAAAGGCAGTTCCAGTCTGAACGGCCACAAGCTCCCTGCAAGCCAAAACCCTGCAGCTCTCCTGTCTCCATATGCCCCCCACTGGCTCTTTGTTTTATAGATCACCACCGCATGGTGGGCTGGTCCTTCCCCTGGCCCTCGCCACTCTGATCTGGCTTCTCTATTCATTCTAATAATCCATCCCCGAAAGAAAGAAGTCTCATTTTATGATAGTTGGAAATATGGACTGTGCAGAAACAGACCAAGAAGAAATCTGAGAACATTCATACATGAATACATTTTATTCATTTTTTTGTAAGTTAAGGTTTCTGATGTGTTTTTTTTTTTTTTCATTTTAGAGTCCCCCCTCCCCCTTGAATGATAGCTTCCAAAGTGAGATTCATGAGCACTGAATAGATCCGGTAACAGTGAATAGTTTTTGTTTTATTTAATATTCTTTGTTTTGGCTGCACTGTGTCTTTGTTGCAGCACACAGTCTTTCTTTAGTTGTGGCACGTGGGATCTTAGTTCCCTGAGCAGGTATCAAATCCTAGTCCCTTGCATTGGAAGGCAGATTCTTTTTATTTATTTGTTTATGGCTGAGCTGGGTTGTGGGCTGAGTCTTTGTTGCTGTGTGGGGATTTGTCTAGTTGTCGTGAGCATGGGACCACCCCTCTCTACTTGCAGTCTTCCTACTGCAGTGGCCTGTTGCAGGGTGCTTGGGCTTCAGTCGCCGTGGCGTGTGGGCTCAGCAGCTGTGGCTCTCAGGCTTACTCGCCCTGCAGCATGTGGAATCATCCCAGACCAGGGATGGAACCCATGTCCCCTGCACTGGCGGATTCTTAACCACTGGACTACCAAGGAAGTCCCACAGTGAATGGTTTTAATCAAGAAGTACTCTAACTAATTAAAAAAAATAGATCCTATGATTATAAAGAAGTTGACTTGTCATAAGCCTTGTCAAAAATACATTTTTACTTTATATGCCTTTTTAGGTGGTCAATGTGTTTTATGATTACAACTGAACTATTATAAAATTCTGATTACTTTATAATAAGTAGCAAATATCTATCAGTGAAATGCAATAGCATATAAAATACAAGTAGCCCCAAACTTCCCTGTTTTCTCTTCTCTGATGGACTAAAGAAGAAAAACAGGTTTAGTTTCTGATAACAGCTCCTTCAGCTGGTAGCTGTTCCCATAAGAACCTTTCTTTTGATTTTGGCCAGCTCTCACGTTCTCATCTTTGGTCAGTCACTAATCTTGGGACTGGTTTGGGGTCGTCACTGGGGAAAATTGTGAAGTAACCCAAGCATTTGTTTGGCATGCCCCAGATTGCTTTGGCATGTACTTTCTGTTTCTGGCACTCTTTTTTTTTTTTCCAGGTCCTCCTATCAACTTTTCCTTTCCAATCATATCAATCATTTACATATTAGTAGTACTTTAACTGGAGCCTCCCAGGTGGTGCTAGTGGTAAGGAATCCACCTGCCAATGCGGGAGACCCAAAAGACACAGGTTCAATCCCTGGGTCAGGAAGATCCCTTGGAATAGGAAATGGCACCCCATCCCAGTATTCTTGCCTGGAAAATTCCATGGACAGAGGAGCCTAGCGGGCTCAGCAAAGAGTCAGACAAGAGTGAGTGGCTGAGAACACACACACACACACACACACACACACACACAGAATTTTAACCCTATATACTCCCCCTTCTCAGAGATATTTGCTTGTATTGCCTTATCTGTAATTGTGAATGCAAAGGTTTGTTTCTGGTCCTGGAGTTTTAATCACTAATGAGCTGTTATAGAAACTTGTGGGGGAGACTGACTGCCCAGGTGTCTTCCCTTCAGGTTGTACGGACAGTCCCTGGCTTAAGATGCTTTGGCTTAGCAACTTTTTGGCTTTACAGTGATGCAAAAGTGATAGACGTTCAGTGGAAACCATACTTAAAACTTTGTATTTGGGGTTTTTTGGAGGGGTGGCTAGCCATGTGCAGTAGGATACTTCTTTTACGGTGCCGGGCAGCCAGTGAGCCACAGCTCCAGTCAGCCACCCGGTCACAAGAGCACAGGCCAAATACACTTAAAACCATCAGTACCCAGACAGCCATTCTGGTTTTCACGTTCAGTGTGCTTGTGTACATGCTAGGCTGCATTGTCGCGTCCGACTCTGTGCAACCCCATGGACTGCAGCCCACCAGGCTCCTCTGTCCATGGAAATCTCCAGGCAAGATACTGGAGTGGGTTGCCATTCCCTTCTCTAGGTCAATAAATTACATGAACTAGTCAACACTTTATTATAAAATAGCCTTTCTGGTAGATGATTTTGCCCAACTGTAGGTTCATGTGAGGGCTTCCCTGGTGGCTCAGTGATGAAGAATGCCCCTGTCAATGCAGGAGACTCAGGTTTGTTCCATGGGATCTTCCTGACCCAGCAGGGCATGGCAACCCACTCCAGGATTCTTGCCTGGAGACTCCCATGGACAGAGGAGCCTGGTGGGCAACAGTTCATTGGGTCGCAAAACAGCTGGACATGACTGAGCGACTAAACAGCAATAGGCATCAAGGTTCATGTACGTGTTCTGAGCACATTAAGGTAGACTGGGCTAAGCTAGGATGTCTGGTAGGTTAAGTGTATTAGATGCATTTTTAATTTATGATATTTTCAACTTATGATAGATTAATTGAGATATAGCCCCATCAGAAGTTAAAGAAAATCTGTATTTTGCAAGTCTATATATATTCTCAGTTTATGAATATGACCAGCTCCCCAATTTTTCTGTAACTCCAAGTTTTGAGGTCAAGTGCACGTCTATGTCCACACCAGCCTTGCTTGGGCTCACGCTCACAAATGTGAGAAAGAATAGGTAGGTGGCAAAACGTGGGGTGTACTCACTACGGAAAGAAATGCATGCAATTCGTTAGGAATAAGTTACTAAACTCACTTTCTGTGCAGTTCTTTATCTCTTTCATAATGCGTCTCTGGTGTCAGACTAAACCTGGAGCTTTTTTTTTTTTTGCTTTGCTTTTTTTTTTTTCCCAGTTTGACAAATGGACGGATACTCAGAGGAGAAGAATCCTGACAGGCTTGTTAGAACGCTGCTCCCTGTCACAGCAAAAGTTCTGCTGTCGAAAGCTTCAGGAGAAAATTCCAGCAGAAGCTCTGGATTTTACTACCAAACTCCCAAGGGTGTTATCTTTATATATCTTTTCCTTCCTGGATCCCCGAAGCCTTTGTCGTTGTGCACAGGTACAGACAAAGAAGCAGTGTTCGGTGTTTTGTAAAGACAGCCTAGAAAATACTGAAACTTGAGGAAAAAAAAGAACGCACGTATACAAAACCAAGAATTGACAAGATGTTCAATATGTTTAGTTTGTACAATTTGAATTAGCCCCCATCTCTTTTGTGTCTGGTTGTGCATTTAGTGCTCAAAGGGGAGAAAAAGTAAGCCATCACTAAGTGTCCATAAAATAGTATTAGCCAGTTGGGGAAATATATACACGTGTATATAATGGATTCATCAGCAGAGGACCTAGTAAAACCTTAAAGTGTAGAGTGCAGGCCATTCATAAATAGAAAAGCGCAAAATAAGGTGCTAATGTGATAAATACAAAAGCATGTGAGACTGAAGAAGTTCAGAGTGGACAAATGTGCTCACAGGTTGGAAAAGCATCTGACCATTATTTTATTACAAGTAATTCCATGGTGTATTCAAATATTTTTTTTAAGATATAAAATTGATAGTAATTTTGTTGATTTCTTTTCATAGTCTAGAAAGACCAGAAATTACCTGTCACTGTGCATTCACATGGTAACTTTAGTTTTTAAAATTAAGAAAATGAAAAAAAAATTAAGAAAATGAATGCAGTAAGATAGATGACTTATTTAATAATTGGTGTTGGGACAATCGGGCAGTATCTGGAAAAAAATTCTAGAAGGATAAAAGATTGATATGAAATTATAGGAAACCATTTCCTACTCAAAGGAGGGAATTCCTTGGTGGTCCAGTGGTTAAGTCTCTGCTCTTTCACTGCTGAGGGCAGAAGTTCAATCCCTGTTTGGGGAACTAAGATCCTGTAAGCCACCAGGCATGACTAAAGGGGAAAAAAAAATGTAGTTAAAGGAAATCTAGGGAAGGAAGACTTTGTGAGTAATTTATAGTATTCAGAGCCTCAAAAGAAAATGTATAACTTAAAATCTTGCTTTATTTTATATTATTGTATTTATATTATATATGCTTTATAAATAAAGCAAGATTTTAAGTTGTGATTATAAAAATTAAAATTTTCTCCATAGAGAAGAAAACTGTAAATAAATACAAACAGTAAACAGGAGGGAATTCCCTGGTATAGTGGTTAGGATTCAGTGCTTTTACTGATGAGGGCTCAGATTCCACCCCTGGTTGGGAGGCTAAGAACCTACAAGCTGCTGCAGCGTTGCCAAAAAAAAATTAAAATGAACAGGAAGAAACATTGCCAGCAAAGGAGTAATTTTTTTATTTTTTAAAGAACGACTATAAATCTACATTAAGAAGAAAAAAAAACCAAAGCCTAGCAGAAAAATGAGCAAAGGAAGTGAACAAATAGTTCACAGAAAGAAAAGCAGATGTTTCTAAAATAGATAAAATGCTTAGCCTCATTTTCATGTCATTGTTTGTGACTCAGATGGATTGAGTTTCTTTTTTTAGTTTCTTTTTTTTTTTTTAGTTTCTTTTTTAATGATAATATTTTATATTGTTGGGGTGTGGGGACACAGGCACCTTCATATGTTGTTGGTAGATAAAGTGATGCAAACACCAAGAAGAGCAATTTGGTAATATTCAATTTTTAAATAGAGATTCCTGGACGTTCCCTGGCGATCCAGTGGTTAGGACTCTGTGCTTTCACTAACAAGGGTGTGAGTTTGACTCCTGGTCAGGGAACTGAGATCCTGCATGCCATGAGACATGGCTAAAAACTTAAAAAATTTTTTTAATTAAAAAAAAATAAGATTACCTTTGGCCAGTAGTTCCACTTCTTGGAATTTGTCAGATGGGTATACTTCAACACAGGCAAAATTTATGTCTATAAAAGAATATTGCATCATTGTTTGTAGTAGCAAAAGGTTGGAAATAATGGAAATGTCTGCTAATAGCAGACTGGTTGCAACTATCTCTGCAATATATCATCAAGAAAAAAAGGTGTAAAATTATCCTACCATTTTGGAAAGAATAAAAGAATGTATCCATATTTGTTAACCTTCTGGAATGGCACACAAGAAGCCAGTAACAATGGTTACATTCAGGGAGGGAAATGAGTGGCTAGATGACAAGGATGAGAGAGACTCTTTTTTTTACTTTTTTTACAGTGCGCCCCTTGGTATCTTTGAATTTAGTGTTGATGTACACATGTTACTTATTCTAAAAATGAAACAATTTGTTTTTTAAAAAAGCACAGTGTTTTAAATGCCCAGTAATAGAATATCATTCAGGCATATAATGAATTATTAGGCAGTCATTAGAAAACATGTTTTGGAAGAACAGAGATGCTTATTATATGTAAAATGAAAAAAGCATGATTTTAAATTGCAATGCAGTTTCCCAATTGAGGATTGAGGGCAGTGTCGTTTCATTCTGGGTGGCACAAAGTGGTTATCATCTCTATTTCTGCCTGCAGTGTTGTATTAGATCCTCTAAGCCTTTTCCTCCATGAGATCCTGAACCTACTGTTTCTCCAAATTATGCCCCCTTCTGCTTCCCTCTCCCATACATGTCTTATCTTCAGCCCATAAAATAATCCTGGACGTAATAGGAACTCCATACACAATGGATGGAAAGAGAGAGGAAAAGAGACAGATCAATAAACAAATGGATAGGTAGCAAGTTCCATTACAGAGTGTTCTGCTCCTTTTTGGGGGCACTCAAACATTATTTATTATTGAGTTACCCTTGAAAAAGAGGCCAATTTTCCAAGGATGAAATGAATGTGAAGATTAGCTGTCATCTCTGCAATTCTTGAAAAGAGACATGGAATGCCTAGTCTCAACTTTATATATGGACTTGACTCTAGTTTCTACTAAGACTTATTTAAAACCTGGAGTAAATTATTTTAAACACTACTACACATAATAGGGTCATCGCCACCATTTGCTGGATGTGTAGGATTGACCATAATGCTATGAAAATGGAATGTACAGAATACTTTATTTTTTTAAAGTTATTTATTTGGCTGCACCAGGTGTTAGTTGCAGCACGTGGGATCCAGTTCCCTAACCAGGGCTCAAACCCTGGCCCCCTGCACTGAAAGCATAGAATCTTAGCCACCAGACCACCAGGGAAGTCCCCAGGATAAATACTTAATGCTCTATTGAATCCAAAAGGCTATTTAGGACATACCAATATAGTATTCGTCATTGTGTTCCCTTTATAAAGTTTATATTTAGTTAAATCATAAGAATGGAGAGAAAACAGAAGCATATCATGAAAAAAATAAGCAATGTGCCAACTGGAGTTTCCGTAGCCTTCATATAACTTTCATATGCAGACTTCCAGAGATCTTTAAGAAGTTCCAAAGTCTTATCTGAAACTTAGTTTCCGCATTTGCAAGGGAAGAATATTAATTATACTGCCCTTCAGGTTGTGATGAGGATGTTTAATAGCTTGATAAATATTAGTTGACTTGGATTCTGTCTGAATTAACATTTTTTTTTTAAAGAAAAAGGGGTACCCAAAGCCAGTGCTCTGTGTGAACCTGGAGGGATATTCAGGTTGGAGGGGACACGTGTATACCTATGGCTAGTGTATGGCAAAACCATCATGATGTTGTAAAGTAATTATCCTCCAATTAAAATAAATAAATAAAATTAAAAAAAAAATCCTCCTGCCTGGTTAGGAAGCACTTCAGGTAGGAGGTAACTTAGCTGTGATTTGGAGGAAAAGGAACAAAAAGAAACTAGTTGTGAATTCCAGGCCTGGTTTATCTAGTTAAAATTATGTTTACTCTGATTCATTCATGGGCTTCCCCAGTGGCTCAGCGGTAAAGAACCCACCTGCAATGCAGGAAACACAGAGAAGTGGATTCGATCCCCGGGTCAAAAAGATCCCCTGGAGGAGGGCATGGCAACCCACTCCAGAAAAAAATAAAGTTCTCTAAGTACCAAGGTGATAACTCAAAACCTAGAGAAAGTGGACATGTAAACTGAATAGTTTTTAACTTTGTTTTTCCAGGTGAGCTGGCATTGGAAGAACTTAACTGAACTGGATCAGCTCTGGATGCTAAAATGTTTACGGTTTAACTGGTACATCAATTTCTCCCCAACTCCCTATGAGCAGGGTGTGTGGAAGAAGCATTATATTCAAATGGTGAAAGAACTCCATGTTACCAAGCCCAAGGTAAAATTTGGGAAAAGAAGCAACAGAATTACTAATATCAGCTACTTAGGAATTCTAGAACTAAGTTGTGGAAGGCCATTGGTTCAAAAGAAATATAACATGACTACAAAATTCCCTTGTTCTAAGACCTTAACAGCTCTTTTCAAGATACCCATGTTAGTTGAAAGTCATCTGATACTCACAAACCACAGTTCCACCCAGGTTAGGACTTGGAGCTCCTCTTTCTCTCCGGATTCCTGGATTTCTGTGTCTCTTAATGCCTACAGAACCCAATTCTGACACTGGGATTCTGTGGGTAATGTGCAGTATTTATTACCTATGGGTCATCAAATTTTACTTAACTAATTCAAATTTTCTGTGATTCTTCCAGGCAAACTGAAGTTTATGTTTCTATCATTTATAAAGAAAAGTTTTGCAATAAATTAGTAACTAGGAAAGGGCATAATAGGCATATTAAAATTCTTTTTACTTTAGAAACTAGCAATGTAAAGTCCCTACATAGAATTGTAAACAGTAAATAATATGAGCATAAATTTTTCTAGTGGTTTTCTATGCATTATAACCAATGTTTATGTTCATTCTTATAGTCACAGTTAATTAGATAACTTATGGGAAATTTTTATGAGCTTTTTCTTTATGGCATGACCTATATACATGCAGAGTTGTGCATCATTTTGTATAATAGAAGAGTTCCTGAAAATTATGTGTAAATTAAAATTTTTAAATTATTTTTAAAACCACAGGGATTTTTTAATATAGAAAAGCTGCAGTGAGTCCTTTTTGAATTGAAGAATTCTTTTGAAATATGAATAGTTGGTTCTTAGCATGCTCATTTACGTTTCATTTTATTGTGTTTACTTGAAGTAGAAACCCTCTACATTTAATATAGTAATAAACTGCATAATTAATACTGTTATGATTAAAATAATAAAAGCAGCCTTTCTGATTTCAATGATAGCTGTTCTTCATGAGAATTTCTTTTAAAAAGAAAAATTTTAAATGCAGTGGTAGAAGAGTTATTTTTAAAATTACAATAACTATGACTCCTTTTACCACACAGCTTTCCTTAAGTCTCATTCGAAGTCACTCATAGGCAGGGAAAGGCTTCAATAGCTGAAGCTTGGGTTATTCTGGGGCAGGGGAGTGAAAAGTGATTAACCAGGTTGTAGAATGAAAAAAGGTTTTGAGTATTGTATGTAATACTGATTTAAATACTTGGTCTTCAACAATAACTTTTTTTCCAGAAACTATTTATGCACTTCCCTGGTGGCTCAGATGGTAAAGAATCCACTTGCAATGCAGCAGATGCAGGTTTGTGCCCTGGGTCAGGAAGATCCCCTGGAGAAGAGAATGGCAACCCACTCTAGTATTCTTGCCTGGAGAATCTCCATGGCCGGAGGAGCCTGGTGGGCTATGGTCCATAGGATCATAGAGTTGGACATGACTAAGCAACTAACACACATATATTTTGAAATAATGAATAGTTCTGATACAAGAAAATTGACACATTGTTGCTTAGTATTCAATTTCCTTAGGGAGTACTTTGTTATAGTAAATTTCAGTTTTTCTACTAAAGAAAAAACTGGCAAATTAAACCCAGTAATATATAAAAAAAGAATAATACATGATGACCAAGTGGGATATATCCAAGGAGAGTAAGGTTGGCATAATATTAAAAAGTCAGTCCATGTAATTCACAGAATAAAAGAGAAAAGATATATGGTCAATATATGCAAACAAAAGCATTTAAAATTTTTTCAACATTTGCGATTTTTAAAAGTCTCAAAAGACTTTGAGTAAAAGGAACGAATTTTTAAGTCATCAGTTTTCATTATCTATTTTGTTAAGGGGTCAATATTTTGTACTTTTCAAAATTAATGATATTTATTTATATATATAGTTACTAGCATTCATGCCTAAAATTTCTCCCCTGAAACTGCTTTTTTATTATCATGTATTCTTTATTACCAGTGGTGTTAAACGAGACCTCTTTCAGCAAAAATAGATTTCATTCAATATGAACTCAGAAAAATGAAGCGAATGTCCATCTTATTTTATTTATTTTGTTTTTTGGCCACCACATGTGACTTGGGATCTTAGTTCCCTGACCAGGGATTGAACTCCTGCTCTCGGTAGTGAAAGCGTAGAGTCCTAGGGATTGAACTCCTGCTCTCGGTAGTGAAAGCGTAGAGTCCTAACCACTGGACCTCCAGGGAATTCCTTGAATGTCCATTTTAAGTGAGATCCGCACTGTGCTGTGCTCAGTCATATCCAACTCTTTTCAACCCCATGGACTGTAGCCCACCAGGCTCCTCTGTCCATGGGGGTTCTCCAGGCAAGAGTGGGTTGCCATGCCCTCCTCCAGGATTCGCACAAAACATCAAATACTAATCTAGTAATGAGCCATCAATTATATAAAAGTAAAATGTCTTCTTACTCTGCTACTTACAATTACTCACTAAATAAGTAAATATTTATTAAATACTGTTATGTGCCAGGCGCTAAGAGTACAATGGTCTTAACCCCAATTTCTGGGAGCCTAGTCTATGGCCCAGGACACAGACAAACAGTTACCACATTGAATATGAAGTACTATCTATCCTGTAATAGAAATATGTACAAAGAACAGCTGAAACAAGGATAAGAAACTAACTGATTCTGCTTGGAGGAACTTGGGGAATTTTTAAATTTTCACAAACAATTTAAGCAAACCAATTTACTGAGCAAAGCTTCCCTAATCTCTTAAAGAACAAAAATTAAGCCTTTAATGGCTTCTCAACATAGCAGTACCTCTTCCCTTAGGCTACAACCGCATAAAAACCCTTACGAATTTTATACACACAAAAAAACAGACTTTCAATTTGGGCAATTAAAAAATAGACTTTCAAAAAAAAATAGACTTTCATTTCCCAATTCTTTGGAAATGGCTGAAGTTTTGATAATTGATAAAATCTATAGTTTACCCATACATAATGGAAATTGTCTCTGTGTTTTAGATAGGTATGACAGGGTACTGTTTTTAAGAGTGTATATTTTTATGAACAAATAAACTGCAATTGTGGAATAACTGTATAATGATACGGTAGGTGAGGTGGCAATATAGGATAGAGAAGTTCATTGTGTGGGCTTGAAGCTGGACAATCCTGGATTCAAATTCTGACCCTGTGTCTTATTACTTGTGTCTTAATAGTAGTAGTGGAAAAATTAATCAGTTTATCCTACCTTCAGTTTTCTCTTCTGTAAAATGGAAGTAGTTACGATTACCTTTTAAAGTTATCATGAAGGTTAAATAAAGTAATGTAGAAACGGGACTTTCCTGGTGGTCCAATGGTTAAGACTCCATGCTTTCAATGTGAAGGGTGCAGGTTTGATCCCTGGTAGGGAGAATTAAGATCCCACATGCCTCACTGTATAACCCCCCTCAAAAAATAATAATAATGCAGGAATACTTCCTGAGACAGTGCCTGACACATACAAGCACCTCTGGGTTGGTGGCTGCTGTGATCATTGCCACCATGATCACTGCCATCATGGTGATGATGATAATGATGATTTTTTTTTTTTAAGAATTCATTTACTTATTCATTTTTGGTTGCAAAGGGTCTTCGTTACTGCCCTTGGGGATTCTCTAGTTGCAGTGAGCAGGGGCTATTCTCTACCTTCCATGCTCAGGGCTCTTATTGCGATGGCGTCCCTTGTTGCAGAGCACAGACTCTATAGAGCACTGGCTCAGTGCTTGTGGCACCACTGGCATGTGGAATCTTCCTGGACCAGGGATTGAACCAGTGTCCCCTGCGTTGGCAGGCAGGTTCTTAATCACTAGACCACCAGGGAAATCCATGTTCTTTGTTTTACTTTTGTTATTATTATAGTGTTTTGAGAACAGAAATAATTTTCTCCTTCTAGACACCTCCAAAAGATGGGTTTGTGGTCGCGGATGTTCAACCCATTAGAAGCAGTTCTCCAGGGGGAAAGCTGTCTCCTTCATCCGCTTTCCGATCCTCTTCCTCTTTGAGAAAGAAGAACCACCCAGGGGAGAAAGAACTCCCACCCTGGAGGTCTTCTGACAAGCATCCAACTGATATCATTCGCTTCAATTACCTGGACAACTGTGACCCCATTGAACACAGCTGGCAAGGGTAAGAACTGTGTCCTTCTCCACTTCTTTCCTTTTGGAAACAATTTACCAGCACTTTGGTCTATGAAAAGATGAAAACAGAAGCTACTGTGAAATATAAATGCTTTTCACTGGTGGTGGAGGTTTAGTCACTGAGTCGTGTCAGACTCTGTGGAAACCCATGGACTGTAGCCCACCAGGCTCCTCTGTCCATGGGGATTCTCCAGGCAAGCATACTGGAGTGGGTAGCCATTCTCTTCTCCAGCGGATCTTCTCAACCCAGGGATCAAAACTGCATCTCCTGCATTGCAGGTGGATTCTTTACTGCTGAGCCACCAGTGATGCCCCAAGAAGCAAAAAGTGATTGAAAGTAAATGAACCTTTGTTGATAAATTTGACCTTTTCTTTAGGATTTGTTTGCATTTTGTAGCTATAATGTTTTCTTACAGCTTCTTTTAATATTTTTTTTAAATATTTTAATACCTCAGATTCCAATCTAGCACCATAGGGTTCATATAGTCTTTTCTGTCTTTGCGCCTCCTTTCTGTGACATTGAGATATATACATATATTTGATTATATATATACATACATAATTTTGTATGGGCTTTCCTGGTGGCTCAGAACCCACCTGCAATGTAGGAGACCTGGGTTCCATCCCTGGGTTGAGAAGATCCCCTGGAGGAGGGCATGGTAACCCACTCCAGTATTCTTGCCTGCAGAATCCCCATGGACAGAGGAGTCTGGCAGGCTACAAAAAGAGTTGGACACAACTGAGTGACTAAGCACAGTACAGCATAATTTTGTATAAAAAAATATATGAAGTATACACACAGAGAATATATTTACTTAACAAATTCTGGAAGTAATTTCTGAATTGCTAACTCATATCATTATCAAAACAAATTTGCTAACTGGAATTCAGTGTTCGTTTCTGGTTCATTTTGCCTTTAGCCTGAGGGTATATACTCATAATAATAATAATGTGGATCCATACTTTATCCTATTATATGCAAGCATTTTAAAAAACAAATATTAATGTTAATACAAACAAGATTATTGAAAACAGCTTAAGATGTCTTTGCCTGTGTTTTTGTCCTTAGGATATGTTCTACTAAGGCTATTCAGACAATTGACTGTGTTAAAGTCCCATGAAGTTATTCCTTTGTGTGGGGTAACACCACCAGCTGTTTTTAGATTTTTGGAATTTCTTTTATTTCATGGTTCCAAAGTCAAATATACAAAACAAAGTGTATTTGGAGAAGTCTCCAGTACTGTTCCATGTTCCTAATTGGATCACAGGGGAATCCTATGGATAGGTAACTATTTTTTAAAAAGTCCTTACATTTAAAAAATCATAAAGGAGAGGAAGTGAGGCAGATAAAAAAGCATAAACACATACATGCACCCCTTTCTGAAAGAAATGGTGTCACACAGTACATACCACTTTATCCCTCTTTCTTTCTTTCTGTAACAATATATCCTGGAGCTCACTCCACAGGTATATAAAGAAATACCCTGGCCTCCTTTTTACAGCCCACACTCCTCCATTGTGTGGATGTGTCAGAGTTTATTCAACCCTTTCTCTATTGATAGACACTTGACTTGTTTCCAGCTGAGTGAAGATAATCTTTTAAACCGCAGGAACAACACAATCAAATAGACAAACAGCTATGCCAACCACCAAAGCTTTAAAATGATATTTATAATTTCCCCAATGTTCTCCAATTAACAGAAGAAGGAAAAGACATGAAATGACTCCAGCTTTCAACCGACAGTCACGTGATAAGAAAAATAAATCACAGGACAGATCTAAACTAAGAAAAGCACAGTCACTGGTAAGTATTGCTTACAAAACATTTCTCCCCATAATGTTAATGAAAAATGCTGGATCTCTATAATCCTCTTCTTGAGATTGATTTTTCTAGGGGGGAACCATCAAGTAACGGTTTAAATTCTGGTCTCTGATACTGACTGGCTAGCTGTGTGACCTTGAAGATACCCTTTATTTAATCTCTCTGAGCCTCAGTCTTTTTAAAAGCTTGGATGGATTAATGTGTGTGAATCTGCTTTGAAAACTACACAATATAAAGGAAGTATTATTATCATTGTTTCTTTCTTCTTCTGTGAGTCCTTTGGGGTCAGAGAGGGGAACCTATAGAAATTTCTCTGTAGAAATTACTTATCTGTAGAATATAAGATCCACTGACCTAAGAAAAAGGTATTGTGCTGTGCTGAATTGGTCAGTTGTGTCCAACTTTCTGCAGTCCCGGGGACTGTAGTCCACCAGGTTACTCTGTCCACAGAATTTTCCAGGCAAGAATACTGGAATGGATTGCCTTTTTCTATTCCCGGGGATCTTCCTTACCCAGGGATCGAGCCCACCTTCTCTTGCATTTCCTGCATTGGCAGGAGAATTCTTTACCACTGACATCACCTGGGAAGCCCAAGAAAAAGATAATGAATTGGCCAAAAACTTCATTCTGGTTTTTCCTTAACATCTTATGGAAAAACCCAAACTTTTTGGCCAGCCCAATATGCATTCCATAGCTGTTCTGTCACCAGTGGAACATGATGATAAAAGTGCATTCTAAATAACTTCAGAAAAAAAAAATGAATTAAGAACTTTTCTTTCCCTAATTAAAAAATAGCTAATTGACAACCTAATAAAAGTCAGTGGTTGTGACTAGGGAGCATTATTATTTCAGAGCAGAATTTCCCAAATTGTGGTTCTGTACCCCCAATGGATCCCTTTCAGCACATATGAGAGTCTTTGGAGCCAAGTAGAAGGGAATAAGGGTGGAATTAAAAGTTTCCATTAGTAGTAAAGATTTAGAAAAAGGCTGCAGATACACACTAAAGGAAAATTAATATAAAATGGATGTCAGTTGGGAGAAGGATAAGTGTGTACTCATGAATAAATCACTTTTATAGCTCTCCTTTAAAGCTTAATTACTTTCTGTTTCAATGCATTTTCAAGTGTTATGTTCCAAAAAGAGAGAGAGAGAGAGATGAGCTTTTTGAAATAGGTTAGTCTATATTCTGAAGAGACAATCTGGTTGGACGGGATGAGACTTATCACAGACATATGTATGGAGGCCCAAGGGAATGAGGAAGCTTAAAATAGAGCAGTAAAATTGTCAGTAAAAACCATTAATTGGGAAAAATAACTATGAGGTTTATCACCCGAGACATTCAGGCATGTGGCTGCCTAGTTGCTGGCCCCTCCTCAGCCAGAAGTAGAAGAGAAATCTGGGGGAGAACAGGGAATTTGCAGGAAGATAAAAGTTGGTGACTCCTGCTTACAAACTATGAGCACAATCAGACATTTCTCTGGCTTAAAAAACAAAAATCAAAGGCTAAACAGAAACCCTCCCTCTGGGTTTTTGACATTCACCATCTGTCACCCTCTAGCAGGGCTTGCTTAAGTTAAAATAGTCATAAATTAAAGACTTCAAAAGTTGTGCTCATTCAAGCTGAAAGGGAAACCAGGGCAAAGTAAACAAGGATGGAACACCGTTAAGCTATGAGTAGGTGAAGCGGGCGATTATGTGGATCTACTTGTGTGTGTTATTTGATCAGTCATGTCTGACTCTTTGTGACCCTGTGGACTGTAGCCCGCCAGGCTTCTCTGTCCATGGAATTCTCCAGGCAAGAATATTGGAGTGGGTTGCCATTTCCTCCTCCAGGGGATCTTCCCGACCCAAGGATTGAACCTGGGTCTCCTGCATTGCAGGTGGGTTCTTTACCATCTGAGCCACGAGGGAAGCATACTTGTGTGGTTTCTGTAAATATGCTAATTAGAATCACTGTTTCTGCTTAATTATGATAAGGAGCGCTGAGGCATAATTAAACCTTCCAAAAGTGTGCTGCGATGTTTGACTCCACATTGGTGTCTGTGATGTGTGTGCATGTTCAGTCTTGTCTGACTCTTTGTGACCACATGGACTGTAGCCTCCCAGGCTCCTCCTTTCCAGGGGATTTCCCAGACAAGAATACTGGGGTGGGTTGCCATTTCCTACTCCAGGAGGTCTTTCAGGCCCAGGGATTGAACCTGAGTCTACTGCGTCTCCTGCATGGGCAGGCAGAGTCTTTACCACTGTGCCAATGGGGAAGCCTTGCGGCTATTCAGGCCACAGGCTGCAGGTGGCTAAGGCCCTCCCTGCACTGTGCCAGTTGCCCCAGCATCCACCACATCCCTCCCTTGCAGGAAAGGAGCAGCCTCCTCCATGAGGCAAGGTGATTGTGAAAATGAAATACTAGCTATGGGGCCTGAGAGGAGTGGAACTGGGTCTTGAGGAAATTCATTTAGGGGACATAAAGAAAGTAAGGAGTAAATAAAATCTGACAATAGAGTGGATAATGAAGGACCTACTGTATAGCACAGGGAACTCTGCTTAATGTTGTGTGGCAGCCTGGATGGGAGAGGGGTTTGGGGGAGAATGGATACATGTATACGTATGTCTGAGTCCGTCTGCTGTCCACCTGAGGCCATCACAACATTGTTAATCTGCTGTATTCCAGTGTCAAATAAAAAGCTGAAAACGAAACAGAAACAACCGGTGCATCTGTGGAGAGAGTGTGGTAGACACAGCCCAGGTGTGATTAAAGTGGAGAAAATCACATATTCATTAGATAGAAAGTTCTTGCGTCATTTAGACGGGTTTATCTAGGAAGATTCAGGAGGAACTAGAGAAACAGGTGAGCAGGAAAAACTTAGGGGAACAGCTTACAAAGCCAGGATGAGAAGGATAGATCACCAACGCCCAGGGAGGACCTAAGGCCTGAACAGTGGTGGGCTCCCTGTCCTCAAAGTGGGAAAGGGGCGTGTGATACTAGGAGAAGCTAAAGCTTTGTGAAATGGAGGGGTTAGGAGAAAAACAGCACAGTGTGAACTACAAAGAATATTCCTTTGAATATCCCCAAACTTTTTGGTACCAGGGACCAGTTTCATGAAAGAGAATTTTTTCCATGAATTGGGGAAGGGGGAATGGTTTCAGGATGATTCAAGTGCATTACATTTATTGTGCACTTTATTTCTATTATCATTACATCAGCTCCACCTCAGATCATCAGATATTAGATCCCGGAGGTTAGGGACCCCTCTCTCGGCTATCTCTCGAGGGCATGGCTATCAGGTCACTGAGGCATCTTCACTGTTTGCCTATCATTACTGAGAGCCTTCAAATATTAGAGTTCTCCCCCTAAACAGAAACATTCTCAAGGAAAGTTTCAAATCTGTGTATATTGCTGTGAGTTGGTGATGTTTTCTACTATTATTAGGTTTGAGTTTCAAGGGTACCTGATTCCCCTTTTAATTCTAGCACTGCCTCATCATAGCTGCTTCATTGAACCACCTTTTGGTATGAATCAGTGATAGAAGCTAGGCTTCCCATGTGGCTCAGTGGTAAAGAATCCACCTGCCAATAATGGAGATACAGGTTTGATCCCTGGGTTGGGAAGATTCCCCTGCGAGAAGAAATGACAACCCACTCCAATATTCTTGCCTGGGAAAATCCTATGGACAGAGGAGCCTAGCAGGCTACAGTCTGTGGGGTCCCAAAGAGTTAGATAACGACTGAGCAAATCTCTTATCTATTCGATCACCAATGCTTTATCATTTTGAAGGTGATTTATTAAAATTATATAAACATCGAGGTATGTTCATTACCATTAGTTTTTTGTTGTGGTGGTTGTTTGTTTTGCTTTTTGGCCACACCACGTGGCATGTGGGATCTTAATTCCCTGACCAGGGATTGAACCTGTGACCCCTTGCATTGGACGCTCAGAATCTTAACCACTGGACCATTAAGGAAGTCCCATCATTAGTTATTATAATAAAGTTCCAGACAGAACAAAGTCATGAAAAAATACAAGCACCACAAGACAGCCAGGTGGCATCTTAAACCTCAGACATTTTCCCATCTTGAGTAAAGACGTGAAAAAAATAATTTTTAAAAATCTTAACAGCTGGCCCCACGATTCCTTTTTGGGAAGAGGAAGGAGGGAGCTGTCTCCTTGGGGGAAATCCACAGAGGAGCAAATGCTACAGGCACCTGGACGCCAGGGGAGGGAAAACCTGCCAGGCTGGAGATGAGAGGAAAAGTTTCTTGTTTCTGCTCCTGCAAGGTGAGGGAAGGGGGACAGAGGGCGGAAAGGAAAGAAATAAGACCAGGAAAGAAAAGCCAGCCAGACAGAGGGAAGCTGAGCCCGGGCAGGGGATAATGACACATCAGTGTTAGATGGCAACCCAGCCATTCCCAATCAAATTTGTTCCCTATTACTGGGATGTAAAGCCTGCCTTCCATCTCTTTAGGAAATCCTACTCAATTTATACATGGAAGCAAGATCTCAGTAGTCTAGAAACCAAGAAAGCCCTTCAGGACTATGTACAAAAACCAAGGTGGGGAGGGCGGGACTTCCCTGGCAGTCCAGTGGTTAAGACTTCACGCTTCCAGGGGGGAAAGGTTTGATCCTTGGTAAGGGAACTAAGATCACACACACTGAGCTTGGCCAAGGAGGGAAAAAAAAAATGCTATCCTTAAACATAAAACCAAGAGGGGTGGGCTTTGGGCTTCCTAGGACTGGAATTGGGGCCCAGCTGAGCTGACATCTTGTTTTTTGTCTGTTTTTTGTTTTTCCTTTTTCCTACCAAATTAAGTATAAAAACAAATACCTTTTTGTCTCATGCTTAACTTTTTTCCTTGAAGGTTAGAAGTCCTCACTTTCCAGGTTTTTGATTTAGCCAAGGATTCAAAAAGCTTTCTGTTTGCAGTGTTCAGCTAAATACAAGTAACAAAAGCTGCTAATTGCCTGCTTACTCTAATTGCTTTAGATA